TGCTGGGGTGGAGCTGCGTGTGCGCGGCAGCCAGGGGTCCTCCCGTCCTGCGGAGCGCCACCGCCGGCGCTGCCGACCCACGGGGAATGGAGGGAAAGGCGGGTGTCCCAGGCCGGGGTGGCGGCGGCGGCAGGGGAGCCCCGTCCACGCGGTGCCCTCCACGCTGGCGCCCCGCTGCCTTGAGACCGCCGTGGCCTGGTGCAGATCCGCCCTCCGAAACAGTCCAGGAGGAGGCGGTGTTTTTTTTCCCCCTTTTAAGTTTCGGATAAACACGGTGGAACTAATGCTTCTCAGGTGTGCGTGCCTCTCACACAGCCCTCGCACTGGGGAGTGTCATGTCATGGACAAGACCAGAGGGACCCACGTGGTGTCCACAGCGCGGACATGCGAGGGCCAGGTCAGACCAGCCGGCTCCTGTGTCCGCCACGAGCGTTGGACACCGAGCACGAGGGAGTCCTCATCCCATCGGGTGCAATTTATGGCCCGACAACCTGCGTCTCTGAAGGCTGCCTTCTGCCATGCGGCGTGACACGCGTTCCCGAGCTGCTGGCTCTCTACCTCCAACCTCCGTAAAACAAGAGTTAGCCCCTTCATGAGCATCTAGAAAACTCAATCCATTTTTATGTAACTTACCATAAGAGCTCCAAATACAAGGGAAAATTAATCTCCTTTTAATTCTCATTTATCTGGTTCAGAATAGACCCTTTTAGAGCAATCAAACCAGGCAGTTATTTTGTAGCTCCCTCCTGGTGGGTCATCTTTAGTGCATGTCAACAGTAAGTGAAGTGAATTCAGGGTTGTAGTATCTGGATGGAAATATATGCTCTCTTCCTTTCAAAAGGACATGTTCATACACTAGCCTGATTAATAACTTTTTGGCATTCCATGCTTCTCAGTCCAGGGAAAATTACTGAGCAGATATTTACTATATTGTCAAACTTATTTTGAACTCTTCATGTGGGCCTCTCACCACCTCTCTGTGCAGTTATGCAATCTTGAAAACCACAAATTAAAGCCTCTAAACAGACGCAATAACAAATTGTGGTAGCTCTAGAGAAAACCCCGGGAAAAAAAAATTGATCTCTCAAAGCGACCTCTTCAAACTATGCTGACAGACAAAACCCTGAGTAAACAGATGGGTTTGCAATCCTGAATATCAACAAACTTTGCTCTACTAGATCAGTGAGAGATATTCTGAGGTAACAAACTATTTAGTCTTATATAGAATATTTGTAGCTGTATAGAGACCTTCAAAATGACTTTTTTTCCTCCATTCTGTAGAGAAAAAATTATTTTTATAGCTTGAGAGAAACTTTTTGACTTTCGTCTTCAGCTGTGTGTAGAGCAGAGAACTGAAGCATTTTTCTACAGCAGTGATTTGCTACACTTTGCTGCTGCAGACTTTAAATATTACCCGAGGCTGCTGTTTCATAATGAAACAGTGGCTCTACATGGCTCTGCAAGTCACGTCCTGGTGCACTGGCTCTCAGTACAACATTCATTTATATTCATGCAAAATTTGGTGGAAAAGGATTGAGTTGTTGCTGTAGCCCTCTTGGTTCTAGGAAAGTTTGAAGTGATGTGTCACTGCTATTCTCACTTCTTTATTTTGAGACATTTTTTTAGAATCGTGTTTTCCCTCTGGTAAACTCTCTTTGAACCTCATAACGGTCATACCTTCCAATCAGAAATGGACCTTCTGTTATTTTTAAATATGTGAAAGTCTTTCTAGGAATCTGTGTTGCTCTTAATGGCGTGGGAACTTGTGTCTTCCTGAGCATCAGAAAGTTCATGGAATATATTCTAAAATATGAGATTTACAGTGGCACATCTGGCTGTGGGTGGTTTTTACTCTTCTGCATGTGGTCTGTGGTTCAGTAGTCACTAACTTTACATATATATGTGTGTTTGCGCGCGCGCATGCGCACAGATGCACATAAAAGGTTTACATTATTTCCCCTTTTGAGAAGTTATGATTCTATTTCTTTCAATTTGATAAATGTAATTTATAACTGTGCTAAAGTTCTTTTTGTAAACAGGAGCTGTAAAATAAATTCACATAAAAAATAAAAGGAAAATAAAAAATAAAAAATTCACAATAAAAACAAAACCTTAAAAAGCTGAAATTAAAAACATCAGGTCTGCTTTGATGTAGAGGTTGTGTTGAAATGGTATATTTACATGTTTATTCTCTATTTTATAATTTCCTGCGCAAAGGCACTCAATAGTTTCTGTCAGAAAAGTAAATGTATTTTGAAAGGAATCCGCATCTCATATCATTTTAATTACATGCACTTAATGTGTTAGAACAGAACTTTATGCTGCAGAATGAAAAGGCTTCCCTGAGGTTTGGATTGGGCCCTGAAATGGTGAAACAATTTCTCCCCCTGTGAGTGTCTGCTGCCTGTGTCTGGTGCCTCCAGAGAAGCGTAGTAGTGCAGTGGTAAATTACTCACCTGCTTGGTGTTTGCAAGAAGTGGGTAAATGTTACGTTGCTGAAATTGAAGTGCATGAACTCCATTCGCCGTTGTTTACTCTTAACGACACCTCTGGAAAGAAGTTACTCTAAGCTGGAGTCTGTGCATGGGTCTTGCTGTTTCTGGACCTGCATCTCTATTAATCTTTCACCACTTCTGGATGACACCTTTTTTTTTTATTTTTAAATATGTGACTTGAGCAGGTTTCAAATGTGTGTGCCTGGAGAGAGAAAAAACGTGCAAAGTGAAGCAGCTAACCAGTGCTTTGAGCAGCTTTGCGGACTGAAGGGAAAAAAGGGCTGTACTCCAGACTGGTCTATAAAATCACCAGCAGAGCCATTAACTTTGATTCTCCTACCCGATTCTGGCACGCTCATCTTTGAATATATGACCAGTAAGATGTATTATATTAGGACTTTATTCGGCTGACAGCCACAAGAAATAACAGCGTCACGCATGTTGGAGTTCCCAGAAGTGCTAACAGGTTTCGGCACCTACTTCCACACGGCTGCTTAAAGCTGCCCCTGTTCTAGCAGCGTGTGTGTCTATAGTAGAAACCAGATGGCCAAAGGGGTCTGGACTGAAAAAGAGAGAGAAGTGTGTGTTTGTTTGTTTGTTTTATTTATGATGCAGGTCAATTACAGCACTAAGTGATGCCAAAAGAGGTGATTTTCTAGCCTCTTACTGCTTTCTCACTTCTGCTTGCACTGGGTCTTTTGTGATCCCATGGTGAGACTGGTTTAGGGAACTAAGGGGGCAGAAAAGCTTCTCTCTACAGAAATGAATTATTTCTTGCTGCTTGAACTCCCTAGACTATCTCATGACAAAAGCAAAGGTCACAGGTGCAATGCAGAGAAGGTGCAAGAGAAACAGCCACCACCCGAAGTCAAGGCTGGGCTGCCCAGACGAGCCCATTAGACTGTCTTAACAATACTGTCAAACCCCACCTACATGGAGCTGCGTAGTGAGAATATTTTAGGAGCTGAAACCTCTTGAATAAGCTTCGCTGCAAGGAAAAATGTTTGTAGTGTCACCCTGTTGTGTGGCGGAGGAGTTCAGGAGGTGCACAGGGGATGGCAGTGGCAGTTGCAAGGTTCCAGTGTGTCACAGGGGACGGAGTTGAGCAGGGGCACAGCTGCCCTCTCGGGTGAGCCAGCAATGTCAACTTCAGCAGCAGCTGCTAATGCGCTTCCTGCAGCAGCAGGGAATCAGATTATCCCAAAACCCCTGTGCCAAGCACATCTCTGCTACCCATCAAGAGACCTGCTCGAAAGCTGTTGTGGCTCAAGAGCTCAGGCTGGACCCCCTGGTAGTGGAGTATAATTATAGTCATCTGAATGGCTTGCTCTGCAGCAAAGACAACAGTCTAGTCCAGAAGTGGAACCCCATAGAGTTATACTTAACTGGCGACTTTATACACATTGAATACAGATGAAGTCATTGGCAAAGAGAGAAAATGCTTCTTCCATTATCTTCTTTTCATGCTGGTTTCAGGTGTGATGCAGAGAAGGATGAGGAGATGCAATTTCCTGTAATCTAAATTGCTAAAAAGATCCTAAAAAATGTACCAAGTGCAGGGTTTTAT